GCATCGCGCTGCCCCGGACCCTCCCGCGGGCGCGCACCGGGCTCAACTCAGGTAAGGGGGGGCCCTCCCCCCAGGGGTACGGGGACCGAGAACCAGAGACAGAGATAAAGAGACCCAGACCCACATGGAGACATAGAGGCGCCGCCGGGGAGAAAGAGACAGACACAAAGAGACACACGCGACTCACAGAACTAGAGAGACAGACCCCACGGAGAAGGGGAGAGAGACACGTCCACGGGGACAGAGTGACACACAGCAGGGAAGAAAAGAGAGACCGAGAGACACAAGAGACTCATATACACTGAGAAAAGAGATACACTCACTCAGAGATGGGGACACACGGAGACAAATAAAAAGAGAGCCACACAGAAAGACAGCTGCACAAACATAGAGGTGGGTATGCAGAGGCGGAGGCACACATCTAGGCAAGGGCACCGAAAGATTAAGAGCCAGACACACAGACACGCACAACTGACCTGGAGAGATAGTCCCACAGAGAGGCACACCTAGGAGCACCGCCTTGGGTACACAGACCCACACATGCGTGCCAGGGCCTCCACAAAGTTCCCTCTGTCTGAGCTCGCACCTCTGGAGGCCTCCCGGGCTGGCTGGCTGGAGTCCTGAGTAGGGGGAGGTGCCCAGGCCACACTAGTGCTGGTTACAATCCCCGTCCTCTAAGGCCTTGGGCTTCCTTAGTCTCATCCACTCAACACAGTGCTTTTGAGAGCTGGAAGCTTGGTGGCAGGGCCAGGCCATGCCCACTGGTTCTAAGGAGATTGAGATATAGGATGTCTACTCCAGCTTTCCCACTGTGGCCGCACCCGCATCCAGGTGCCCAGAGCCAGGCCTGAGGATGGGGGCCTTGGCTCTGTGGGGTATTTAGACCTGCTGGGACCCAGAGTCCTCTGCCAGGGAAGCCAGAGATGTGGGAAAGGACCCTGTTCTCTACCCCTCTCCTCCTAGGCCTCACCCTACCCCTTCAACCTACCCCTTCCTCCTCACCACCCTCTCCTCTGCTCTCTACCTGCCACAGGCTCAGGACTGCAGGTGGACATCCACTGCCCAGGAATCATTGAGTGTGTGGACAGGACAGCCTCTTTGGAAGGCCAGCTATACTGGAGTTCCGCCTCGGCATGGGCCTTGCCACTGAGCCAGCCCCGTGGTCTGGGCTGGTCTGAGGGTGCTGCCTGTCATGGGGGCAGCCATCTCCCAGGGGGCCCTCATTGCCATCGTCTGCAACGGCCTTGTAGGCTTCTTGCTGCTGCTGCTCTGGGTCATTCTCTGCTGGGCCTGCCATTCCCGCTCTGTGGACATCGACTCTCTCTCGGAATCCAGTCCCAACTCCAGCCCTGGCCCCTGTCCTGAGAAGGCACCCCCGCCTCAGAAGCCCAGCCATGAAGGCAGCTACCTGCTGCAGCCCTGAAGGCCCCTCGCCTAGCCTGGAGTCTGGGGCCTAAGTCTGCCCCACCCAGAGCCTGGAATCAGGATCCCAGGGTCTAGCCAGCCTGGGGTCCAGAACCCAGAGTCCAGCCTGTCTGGAGCTGGACCTAGCAGCCCAGAGTCTAGCCGGTCTAGCCCCACGAGGCACTCTGGTGGCCCTTCGTACAGGCCTGGGGTGGGGGTTCATGAGTTGGTGCTAGGGCCAGGGCCATCTTGACTCTGCTCCATACTAAGGGCCAGGGACTGGGGCTACCTTTCCCTAGGCCAATTGCCTCCAGGCCCTTGAGGTTGGGGAAGCAAACTGGAATCCATGGCAATAATGGGAGGGCGTCCAGGCTGGGCCCCTCCTCGGGTCCTCCTACTGTTTGCTGGATAATAAATGGAACTATGGCTCTACCCTGAGATTTCCTCCTCTTCCTGAGGGCCCTGCAGTAGCAAAAATAAAGGTGTGGGGTGAGTTTCCAGACACCGGTTTATTTGTGCAAAGTAGGATGGGATAATGGTTGAGGGCCAAGTCCTGGGGTGAGGTGCTGGGACCAGGGCCGAAGTAGAGTGCTGATGGTAGATTCTGGGACCTGATCAGGGGTGGGGGTCACATACTGGGTACTAAGGCTGGGCTTGGGTACCAGGGTCAGGGGTTACAAGTACTGGGTTCAAAAAATGGGACAGGGACTGAGGCTAGGCCCTCAGGTCTTGGTTTTCACTTCCCTCACCAGGTTCAGCAGTTTATCCAATTTTGCGATCTCCACAGCTGGACCCTTCTGTACCTCCTGCCCCTTCTTTTCCTGGGGAGGGGAGAAGTACATGGAGGGGGGGGAATGGTGAGGGATGGGCCACCTTTCTCTGGGTCCCAGTTCTGCCTCCTTTGCCCAGCCTGCCCCAGCTTTGTCCCGCCCCTCTCCCGGCCAGTTAGATTCTGGATCCCTGCCTCTCCTCAGCCCCAACTCAGGTTAGGAGACCTGGGCCCAGCTGGGGCCTCCGAGAAACATTCAGTCTGGCTCTGAATCTCGGATCAATAAATGGTCTTGATGCTGGGAGGAGTGGCAGAAGGTATCTACCCACTAACCCTCAGAGGAACTAGCCTTTCAGGCTAGGAGAGCTGTAGCTCCGGGGAGAGGTAAGGCCTCTGACTGTTGGGACCACCCTTCCCACAGGAGGGGTCCTGGCTGAGTCCTAACAAGAAGCTAAGGGGTGTGTGTTTGCAGAGGGAGAGAGGTATGGACAAAGCCACAGGTGGGAGACATTTGGGGCCAGGCCTGCTGTTTCACACATACCCAGGGTGGAGGAGGCTGTCAAGAGACCCAGGAGGGCACATGAGGCACCCCATGTGATTCCAGATGTCCTTAGCTGGGACTGTCCCTCAGAAGAGCAGATCCTAAATTTATGAGCCCTCACCCCAGCCTACAGGGCACTCTAATGCCCCGAGAAAACGAGAATTGGGACACTGGGGTATGTGTCACAGGCCCCAAGAGCTCCACAGCAGACCAGCCCCAGTCCCATCCTCCCTTCTGTCCAGGCAGCGGGCTATGACCTAGGCTGGCGGCTGCCGTTTCCTGCCTTTCCTCTGCTCCAGAGCCCCCACCCCCCGCCTGCCCTGCCTCTCAGCCACCTGTGCCCACTGCTCGCTGGCACCCGCTCCAGCCTCGCCTGCTGAGGACCCAGCCTGGGTCTGGCCTGGGCTGTGAGGAGAGGAGAGAGCGCATGGCCAGCAGGCCCCTTCCTGGCCCCATCCTGGCTACTGACACCATGCGGAGCTCAGATTTCCTCCTGGTGTGACCGCCGCACCTGCTCCCAAACCTGTCCTCCCCCCCCCTTGTGGCCCAGTGCCTTTGCCACTACCCAGCTCACCTCTACACTCTCTAGGCAGAGGACAAAGATGTCTTTTCCTTTAACTATCCTCCCTTCCAAATCAAGTTAGTGTTCTCTTCTTGGCCTCACCCCATCCCCTGGGAGTTTGGGACCTGGCTTATAGTTCCAGCTTTGTCATTAACTCCCTATGTGACTTTGGGCAAGTCCCTTGCCTTTCTGGGCTCAGTTTCCCACCTGTACTGTAGTGAGGGAAAGATAGCCTTTGACCTTTGACAGGCTGTGCTTTGACACCAGAGGAAGCTTCCCGGGTCAGGAAGTTGGGCCTCTGGCCAAACCCTCCTGGGAAGGACAGGGAGACTGCAGCCCAAAGAGGAGGGGCAGTAAGGATGCTCAGAGGACTTCCTTTTGAACAAATCACTTGGCTACTGATAGGATCAGATGACAATTTCACGGAAACCTCCAATCCACTGGAGCACTAGCCCCCAGCTGTCACCCGCTCAGGTCCTCTGCTCCCCAGGTAACCATATCCTCAGGGCTTCAGAGATACAGGTCCCCAGATACGCAGAGCCCAGCCCTCTTAGCTAGGGCTGACCCTTGCTCTGAGAGGAGTTGGGACTGTGGGAGATCCTTGCCTCTCTGGGTCAGAGTGAGCAGGGCCGGCCCCCACCCAGACCTACCACCCTCCAGGTGTGATGGCTATACCCTTGCCCCTCCCACTGGGCTGTCCAGCTCTGCCGGCTCAAGCCTGGGTCTCTCTCCTCACTATATTAAGAGCAGATTTTATCTGTTCCACAAATTGTGCTGTCTCCTTCCCCCTCCTTGAGACCAACTTGCTGGGCTCAGCAAAGAGCTTCAGACCATGCCCGACCCCCCACCCCATCCCATCCCTTCCCACCCCAGCCCACCACAGCCTCTAGGCCACAGCTGCAGGCGCTTAGCAGCCTTCTGAGTATTTATAGCCAAGTCCACCCCCTCCCCCAGCTGGCTACAATTACAGGCCCGGCCAAACTCCCAGCCCTTGTCTCCTGGTCATGGTGCGGAATAGACCAGGCAGGTACCAGAGGGATGTTACGTTGACCCCTGCTTTGGTAAGGGCGCGGGGGGGGGGCAGGTATCACTAGTTGAAAGAGACAGGGCCCTGCCCTTGCCTCAAACCGCAAATAAATGCCTCGTATTGCAACCGAGAGGTGTAGTCACCGGGGCAACTTGGCCCAGCCCTGGCTCAGCTCTGATCCTGGCCCAGAACCTGGCAGAAAGCAAATTCCGTATCTTCACTTAGCACCCAAATGGGCAGGACTGGGCTCTGGATTCGAAGGCCTGGATGCTTAGGTCTGAATCAGGACTCTGAAATCTAGACTTTGAGGTGCTGGCTCTGGCCTCCATAGCCTGTTTTCAGGGCTTTGGGGCTCTGGGCAGGGCCTCCAGATCAGTACAAATCCCAGAAAGAAACCGGAGCTCACAAGGAGGGCTGCCTAGCTGCTGACCTAGTTAACCTCTTTTCCTTTTCACGTTCTTCCCTGTGTGGACCCCCAGCTCCCAGCTCAAGGACCACTGGAGCTGAGGCCAATGAAGCAGTGACTAAGCCCCAAGCCCCCTTCCTGGGTAATCTGGTCTACACTAAACAAGCCAATGATGTCTATGTGCTTCTCCAGGCTTTGGACCCATACAGTCGCCTACTTACCGATGTCTCCACCTGCAAGTTTCACAGGTAACTTAGATTTAGCATGGCAAAACTGATCTAATTTTCTCTCCACAAACCTGCTTCTCCTGTGCTCCGTATTTGGGCAAATGACACCATCCTGACCCTGGGTTTCCCAAGCTAGAAAGCTGGGGGCCACCCCCTGGCTCCTCCCCCTTCTCTCAACCCCCACCATCTTGGACTTTACTTCTTACAGCCGCCCAAACTACCCAAGTCTGTACCTTTGGCGTCTTGCGCAAGTTGGGTGAGAGCTTGAGGCAAATGACGTGCCCACGGTCATCACCCACAATGATGATGGGGTGGATAGGATTGAACTGCACATGGGTGATCTTGTTCTTCTTTTTGGCCACCACGGGCTGGTTGCAGATGGCCTCATACTTGTTGATGGACAAGTCAAACACATGGGTCTGTGGAGAGGTGAGTGTCAGCACACTCAAGGATAAGGGGGCCCCTGTCCCCCACCTCAGAAGAACCAGCACATGGACTTTCTGGGCAAACACAACAGAAGCCTGGCTAGCTGGAGCTGGAGGCAGTGGGAGAGGGGATTTGTGTCTCTGATTATGTGTTTTCCGAACATAAAAAGGTTGGGAGAAAATTTAAGTCTGTGCAGAATTAACAATAATAGCAACTACCATACACTTACTGTGTACTAGACTCTGGGCAAGCATGTTACATAGTTGTATCACCTAATAATCCTCACAGACACTCTATAAGGTAGGTTCTGTTATTAGCCCTATTTTATAAATGAGGCGATAGAGGCTCTTAAGGGTAACTTGCCAGTAAGTGGCAGAGCCAGGGTTTATACCAGTTAATATATGCAAGGTGCTCAGACAAATGTTTAATCTTATTTTTACCATTCCCTGAGTCCAAGCCCTTAGTAACTCTTGCCTGGACAACTGTGGCAGTGTCCTGAGGGGTCTTTCCGCTTCCGCTCTTGCCCTCTACCATTCATCCTCCATGCGGCCACTAGACTTAGCTTTAAACTATCTAAAATCCTCCAGACGTTTCCCTTGGCAGTATACATAAAATCCAGATTCCTTACTCCAGATTTCTGCACTCTCCACTCTCACTTCCTGCGCTCTAGCCTCTGTTTCCTAGACCCAGCCACACTTGCCTGCCTGTCCCTGAGACCCTTTCAAGCTCATTCTCACCTCGGGGCATTTGCCCTAGCTACTCCCTCTCTGTCTGCAGTGCCTCTCCCTGTCTTCACCAGGCTAGCTCTTGTCATTCAGCTCTCAGCCTGAATGTCACCTCTTAAAGAAGCTTTCCTTGACCACTCTAAGAGACCGCCCCGTCCTTTTCTTTTACATCACTCCTTTTCTCTCTCTTTTAAAAAATATAATAGCTTTATTGAGATATAATTCACATACAAAAACATTTACCCACTTAAAAGTATACAGTTCTTGGTTTTTGGTATATTCACAGTTATGCAACCATCACCACAACCAATTTTAGAACATTTTCATCACCCCAAAAGAACCCTTGTGCCATTAACAGTCACTTCCCATGTTCTCCCACACCCCCAGCCCTGAGCAACCACAAATCTACTCTCTGTCTCTCTAGTTCTGCCTAGTCTAGACATACATAAATGGAATCATACAGTGTGTGGTCTTTTGTGACCGACTTCTTACGCTAGCATGTTTTCAAGTTCATCCATGTTGTAGCATGTATCTGATACTTCATTCCTTGTTATTGCTGGATAATAATCCTTTTAGATATACCGTATTTTGTTTATCCATTCATCAATTGATGGACATTTGGTTTGTTTCACTTTTTGGCTATTATGAATAATGCTATGAACACTGTGTGCACACATATTCCTCCGGTCATCTCTGCCTAGCACTTAACGCTAATTTTGTGGTTGCCTTGTGTCCCTTTACTTTCATGGGAGTGTGAGCTCTATAACTGCAGGGACCTAAGTCGCCAGGCCCTGCCCTGGTGCTGGGCGCCATAGTTGGCCCTTAGTAAACATCTGTTCGGCAAATAGGTGACTGATTGACTTTAGGGTGATGCCTTCAACTATATAGACTTTCCTTGAGTGGGTGCCTCTCAGGTTATATCAAAGGCCATAAGGAAAAATGGGATTTGCATCCAAGAATTTCCTCAAAAAATGTTTGCTTCTGAGTTTTTACCAATTCTCAGTGTTGCACAGACCCCTCCCCTCTTCCTTCCTCAGACTCCGCTTGCACATTCCCAGGGATGGGGACCTTGCTACCTTTTAGACATTATTTCAATCACAGATAAATTCTGGTTCAGAAGTTTTTCCTTACATCCAGCTTGCCTCTGCCATCCTGTAGCTCCCTCCCCAGGGCCATCAGAGAAGATAACTGTTCCTCACGGCATCTTATCCCCCAGAGTGTTCTGTCCTTCAAGATGAACAGCCCCATTCTCTCCTCGAGGCCTCGTGGGATGAATGATTCCTCTTTTGACAGGGCCCTGGCTGGCCTACCCCTTGAGAATAGAGAGTCCTTATGTCTCACTTTCCTCTACCTGATAAGGGCACTGCATGGGCTCTCTAGGGGGGAGACCCTAAGATACTTCATCCTATCTCTAGTAGAGGCTCCGAAGGGGGCACTCACCTTCCCGTTGGTGGTGACTGCTGCAAACACAGTAGAAGAGTAAGGTGCCCAGGCCACATCGCCCACAGCTGAATTTAGATCATAGATGAACATCGGAGTCCTGCAGTGGTGGAGGGGTGGAGAGTTCACCACACAGAGGACTCACAGTGCTAGAGTTCCGCAGGCCCCCGCCCAGGGTGGGGTCTGAGGGAGGGCATGGCTCTCTCACTTGATGGTGTGGTCCCAGATCTTCACGGTCCAGTCAGAGCTGCAGGACATGAAGACCTTGGTGTGGTATGGATTCCAGGACACAGCGTCCACTGCCATGTTGTGGGCATCATAGGTGTCAAGGAATTTGCTGGAGTAAGATTTAGAGCACTGGGGCGAGGGTGAGGGCAGTGGGAGGATCAGGGATTAGGAATGAGAGAGAAGTCAGCAGCCACCACTTCCCTGGAAGCCCTGGAGAGTCAGAACCTAAGACTCCTCTTCTGTCCCCACATCACTGTCACAGCTGAACGGGGGCCAAGCTGCTGGCTGCTCTTCTCTGTGTCCTCAACATGACCAGAGAGAAAGGAGGGGCTTAACGGGCTGGGGAGTTTTCCTGGAGGGTGAGAGACAGTGCTGTAGTCTGCCCAAAGGATTCCAGGCCAAGTAGAGAAGGCCTTCTCTCCCTGAGTCAAGGCAGAGCAGATCTGGGGGCCCTGGGTGAGGTGTGCCCTAGCCTGTGTCCAGGCCAAAGCCTATGGGCAGACAGACAGAGCCCTGGGTCCACTCATAGCCCACAGATAAAATCCTTGCAATAGTGATAAACATCCCACCTTGCCCAGGTAAGAGTAGGTGCAGAGCCAGGAGCAAGTCCCAATCTCATGATTTCCCATTGGGTTTCTTGCCCAGACCAGCATGCGCCTCTCTCTCCCTCCAAGAGACAGTGTGACTGACTAGTCTCCTCCCTCCTGCCTCTCCCATGCTTGCCATTCCGATGGGCATAGAGGGGGTTGGGGACCTCTTTTGCATTCAGACCAGCTCCTGCTGGGCCTCAGGGGCTCCTGGGAGGCTGTCTGTAATTAACATTCTGAGTCTTTGAGCCTAAGAAAAGCTTGCAGCAGAGCTATTTCTGGATAGATGGAGGTTCAGAAGGATGTTCACCTACTAACACTGAGACCTTACAGAAACTGGCCATAAAGTTCCATCCTACTGGCTGGAACACACCCAAGATTCAGAGATTAAATTTTCGTGTTACCCAGCCTTTAGAGCTCAGCTCAAGTTCCAGATCTCCTCCAGGAAGTCTTGGAATGTTCCAACTCCCCCCAGCGCCCACTCCCACTTCTACTTCTTCTACTCCTAGGAAGGGAGGGAGGGCCCAGAGGGAAAGATACCAGGCTGGGCTAAAGTCACCCTCTAGATTTTCATCCCCTTTTCTGCAGTCATCCCCTCTTCCTGCCACCCAAGCAAGTCAAGACTACATTAACTTCTCCCAAGAAGCTTTCTAGAACTGACTAACCCTAAGGTCTGCCAGAATAGGGTCTGTTGAGAAGGATAAAGTCCCATGGTTCTCGGGTCTAAGCGGCCCCGTAAGAAGCTGGCACAGGGCGGCGCTGCCTCACCTTGTAGATCTTTCCCTCCTCTGTGCCCACTAGGAACATATAGTCAATCTCTTTGTGGAAGTCAAAGGCGGTGCCACAGCCTTGGGAGAAGAGGTAGAGCAGCTTTAGCCCGGTTCTGGGAGGGAGGCTCCCGGCACCTCCTCTACCCAGCAGGCCCCTGTGATAGCCTGAGCCCCGGCTTTCAGCTCTCGCAGGGGCTGGGGCCAGGCAGGCAAACAGAAACTGGCCGTCAGGCCTGCTGCCTGTCCCAGGCAGTTGGGACTCTGCTTACGGCCAGGGCTTCTGCAGACAGGAATGGGGCCTGGGTAAACAAGGCAGGGATTGATTTAAACAGGGTCAGGATCAGGGTAAACAGGGATAGGGTCTGCAAACAGGGACATGGTCTGTGCAAACAGGGATATACTCTGCATAAACAGGGCAGGAATTGAGTAAACAGGAATAGGATCTGGGTAAACAGGGGCCTGATCTGCATAAACAGGAACAAGGGTCTGCAAACAGGGATGGGATCTGCATAAACAGGGAGGGTCTGCAAACAGCCAAGCTCCGGGACAGGGACAGCAGGGCCAAGCTTTCCCATTACCTCCTGTCCAGGCTTCTGTCCAGCGCAAGTGGAGGAGGGAGTGCTTGCTAAAAGGGGAGGGCCACTGTCTCTGACCCTCACGGGGCCTGAGTGAAGTGGTCAGGTCTGGATGTGAGTGGGCTGGGGTTCCTACCCACTGTGTGTAGCTGCAACCCATCGAGACCATCCGTGGTGTTGCCCTCCGCCTTCAGCTTGATGACATCTGTGTGAACCAGCTCGCTCTGTGGTCAGAAGGGATGGGGGAGGGTCCACGGGTGGGGCTGCATCAGCAGGGCTGAAGGCTGCCTTTGCCATTTAGCACCCTCCCCCACTCCCCATCTCCACCCTATATGACACTTTCTGGGAAACAGGCACCTTCAAGAGCGTCCAAGACACAATCCTGCCGTCAGATGACACAGAGAAGAAGTTGAGGTTGTTGTCCATGTCATCCTTCTGCCACCTGACCTGAAACATCCCAACCTTTGAGCTTCGGGACACTACTAGGATGTTGAGTTAGGACTGGGAGCTGAGCAGGGCTCCCTCAAGAATCCGTGTGAGCTTCAGAAGCAAGTTCTGGGAGCCCATTTCCCAGAGTCCCACAGTTGGCCCTCCCTCTCTCCTTCCACCCATCTCTGTCTCTCTCATCCCTCTGTCCCTGACCATTCTGGAGTAACCGTGCCAACTCAGGGCACTGCCCTAATCCACTGGCTTGGCAGTGGAGGTGCCCAATTCCTCCCTGGGTTGGGTTCCAGGAGCCAGTTGTAGGGAGAAGGTGGCATCTCTGGGCTCATCCTCCTTATGTGGGCAGGCCTGGAAAGAACAGGGTCCATCAACCAGTTTCCTCACTTGTAAAACGGGAACCATAACAGCATAGGTTTGCTGTAAGGGTTAAATGAGACCATGAACACGAGGCCCTGATGTGAGAACATTGCAAATATTAAAGGTTCAATAAATGTTAGCGAATATCCCCGTTATGACCCTCATCCTAGGAACTGGGGTGCCAAGGTTCTGCAGGGGGCTTTTTCCTGCTTGCTTGACGGGGGTGCCCTCTTCTTCCAGGTTGGCCTTTCTCTAGGCAGTCTCTCCTGTTTCCGCCTTCACTTCACCACTAGCTCCTGCTCCCAGGATCTTGCTCCCAAATCTCAGATTTGAGCTGCCTTCCTCCATCTTCAACTCAGGGTTAATAATCGTGCCCCACCCTTCTTCTCAGGGCTGGAGGCAAACATATGGTAAAGTGTTTTGGAGACAGAGCTGTTGTCTTATGAAGATGACACGCTTGAGGCTCAAGTTTCTGTTGCCAGATGTGGAGGCCTGGCCAAGTCCTGTCCCAGAGAGCTGGGGTGGGGCTGGGTGCCCAGAGCTTTCCATCCTCCAGCTCCCTCCAGACCTCCCATGCTGGGACCCTGTCCCTCCCCCCTGTCACAAGTAGGGGCCCGGTGAGGGAGGACCGAACCCACTACGGCTGCCTGTGACCACAGCTGTCACCATGGCTGTTGAGGGGGCTGGCTGGGGGAGAGGGGGTCGCCTGTCCCCAGCCAACCCCCAGGCATGGCTGATCACAGCTACAGAAGGGCGGGCCCGTCCTGCCTGGGCCTGTCTAGGCAGCTGGCTCTTTTTTCACTGGGGGGCCTAGAACACCCCAGAGCCTCTGAGGTATAAGTCCGAGCTGGCCCTTACGCTGGGACCACTTCTCCTTCTGTGTAAAGATAGGCTCTTGAAAGGGGGGAGGGGACAGGGGGTGTCAAAGGCCAGGCTATAAGAGGTGCTAGGGAGCTACAAAGGGAAGTGTTTAGTGAGCAGCCACCGGCAGGCATGGAAATTGTAGTTCACACCCCACTTAGCAGCCCGATGCCCGATGGGGGTTGCTGCATGTGTTTGCAAGTGAGCAGGTATGTGTGTGTGTGTACAAGTCACACACGTGCTCCTGGGGTGGAGGTGGGAGGGTAGGAATAAAGGGGGGTGAGCAGGTGGTAAGTGGGGTTCAGAGAATGAACGAATGTCCAGGAAGTAGGTGGTAAGGAGCAGATGGGGCCTGCTTAACTGATTCCTTCTCTTCTGCCTTATCTGATTAGGGCAGACCTGCCTGCCCCCAGTCTCTGCTCAGCTATCCTTCCCTGCTCCCTTCCCCAGTATAGCACAGAACACACACACACACACACACACAGAGTGTTGCTGGTTGAGGCTTCACGTTGGGGCTTGAACAGGGCTGGGCTACCCAGATGAGTTCCCTTGGGCCGTAGCCTGGGCCATGGGCTAGGAACCTAGTCCCCTTTGAGCAGACAGTTCTCTCCCTGGCTCCAAAACCTTCCATGGCTCCCTGCTGCCAACGGAACAAAGTTCTTCTGCCTCAGCCTGGCATTTGAGATCCAACAGAACCTCTCTAGTCTCCTCCAAGACACAGTCCCTTTAAGAAGCACTTAGACTCTGATGTCACTGACGTGCCATTTACCAGCATAGCTTTCCTCCAAGCTCCAGGCTTCCACAGCCCACTGCCTGTAGGATGCCTCCTCTGACGTCTTTTAATTGTAGGTGTTCCTCTGGCTTCTTGTATTAACTTCTGGCCAAACCTGCTCCTCCTCTGTCATTCCCACCTCCCTGGGTGCTCTCCTGGGCGGAGTCTCAGGGAGCAGCACCAATTCTTCTCCTTTCTCATGTCCATCTCGTTTCCTTCTATTGATTTTACTGCCTCAAAGCACTCACCCTACCTTCTCATTTCTATCTCCACTGTCCCTGCTATAGCTCAGGCTTTGAAGTTTCTCATGCTGTGGTGAGAGGACATCTCCAAGACATCAACATGACTGCGTTACTTCTCTGCACCAAACTCCCTGATGGCTCGGCAGCCATTTTCAAACCATACTGGAGGGAGCTCTTAGGAACCGTATGAAAGTACCTTCGAGGATGGGGGGGGAGGGGTGACAACAGGGGACCCTCAAGCAAGCAGGACCCTGACTCACCAAAGCAGCCCCATTCCCACCTCTGAGATATTGGGTTCCTGTACTAGCACTTCATTTGAAACCACTGACTTCCGAAGCACAAGCTTCCTCCATGCTGGAGAAGCACACTCACTCAGGGTGCTGGTGCTTCCCTGGGTCCTGCGCCACCCTCTCTGTCTCTCCCACTGCGCTCCAAATGTTGTTCCCCGGCAGCCACTCTGCCTGACGCCCCTTTGTACCCTTTCTCATCTAACTAATACTTTCTTTCTTCTTTTTCAGCTAAAATCTAGACTTCATTTGATTTTCTTGGTTTCCTCCTAATATCCTTTTTTGTTATATTCTAGGATCTCATCTTACATTTAGTTGTTATTAATTAGTGCTTTCTCATCCCTTACAATTCAGCTCAGGTGTTGCTTCCTCTGGGAAGACCTGCCCCCCACCCCCCCGCTCCCTATCTTGGACAATCTCCATGTCCCCCCTCAGTGCCCCCAAGAGCCCTCTTTCGCAGGTAGCATTTGCCCTGTCCTGTGCAGCCCATGGCTGTGCTTATCTCCCCACTAGGAACCCCAGGGACCAAGCCCTTAAGCACCTTCAGCTCTCAGGGGAGCACACAGAGGAGTCACTGAATGGATAGATGAATGAGGAAAGGGCGAGGAAACTAGAGGCAAAGAGGGAAGTTAGGAAACCAGCAAGCAAGTGAGTGCCCGGCAGCCCCTCCCATGTCACAAGCCACGAGTTCAGCCAAGAACTCTCGAGTCTTCGGTTTTGCAAAGGCACTAGCCCTGTTTCCCCAACAGGATGGTGGGAGAGCAGAAGGCCATCCGTGTCCAGGTAGGTTCCAGTCTCTCCGGCGCCCACCCAATGAAAGCGATAGCTTGTCTTCTCCATGCCCCATTTCTTTTCCCAACCTGCTATTTGATTCCAAGAACACAGCAGAGTGGTAGCCGGATGGTTGGCCTTGGCTCCTTGTCCTCTCCTGGGCTTGAGGAGGGTGGTCAGGCCAATCAGAGATGCTCTGTGCATGGCTCTGGGCTATCTGAGCTGGGAGAGCATGGGCAGGCCTGCTGCTGGTTTAGTCTGATCAAAGCAGGTCTTTTCTCCTCTCTTGGTTCTTTAAGGTCTCTGCAGACATCCTCTGCATGTCTCGAGACCTCTGTGTGCCTGGAGGCGATGATGGGAAGGTGGGATTTTCAGAGGAGAGGACTCCTGAGACTGTCTGTGAGCTTTGGTTCCTGCTTTGGTGGAGAGCAGGGGGGAAGATGTCTCATGGGAGGAGGTGCCTCTCTCTCTGTGCCCTGGCTCTGGGTAAAGGGTAAAGCAAAGAGGGCATCATGTCCCCTGTGCCTGGCCAGTCCCCCACTCTGCTCAGGGAGCTGCGCTGTCTGAGAGCTGAGAGCCAGTGCCTAGGGCAGGTGTCCACATGACACAGGGAGCTCAGAGCCAGGAAGGCAGGGGTGCAGAGTCTGCCTGGAGACTCTATCAGGGCAGGGGCTGAGGAAGATGAGAAGACAGAGTCCCAGCACTGCCTGATGAGCGCAGAGACCGTGGGAAACTTAAGGCAGAAATCCCTCCTTAGGGTGCCTGGGTGGCTCAGTCGTTAAGCGTCTGCCTTCGGCTCAGGTCATGATCCTAGGGTCCTGGGATCAAGTCCCACATCGGGCTTCCTGCTCAGTGGGAAGCCTGCTTCTCCCTCCCCCACTCCCCCTGCTTGTGTTCCTGCTCTCGCTGTCTCTCTCTCTGTCAAATAAATAAATAAAATCTTTAAAAAAAAAAAAAAAAAGAAATCCCTCCTTAGATTTGCCCAGACCTGCCTGTGGGTAAGGGTTCACAGCCCCAGAAGGAGGGGAACTTTTGGAATACAGTAAGGGAAGGTCTACAAAGCCAGAGCTAAGAGACTTTCTGAAGATGAAACGTTGAAATCCACTCCCAGTGCAACCAGATGGGAGACATAGGGTGAAATCTAGCTCCAGCGGCAGGGTAATGGTCCCAGCCTATGCCTGTCTGGAGAAGAAGGATGCTAGAGAGGCCTCAGGGACAGACCTTACCTACCAGGCCTTACAAGCCCCGCCCAGAGGGCAGACAGAGTGCAGCATCTACCCCTGTCTGGGAGTTGCTCCAAATCTAGCCCAGATGGCAGAGGAAAGCCCTGGTGGGGAGTTGAGGAAGCCCATACGCAGGGAACAGGAGCCCTTGACAGACTCAGCAGAGGCCCGTCAGGCCTTCGAGTCTTCCAGCCATGGGCTACGAGTCCCTGACCGCTGCACCTAAGAGAGCCTTAGCAGAGAGGGGCCCTCCTGATAGCAGCTCTGCAGCCTCAGACCCCTCACCTCCCAACTACCACCTCCTGCCCCTCTCTGCCCCTTCACACACCCAGCTCCTTGGCCTCTAAGCTGTCATCCCCATCCCCTTGCCTGTGGCCTGTCCTCCCCAAGGTCCCTCCTCCAGGGGTTCCATCCCCGCTTCTCCCACCCTGGTTCGAGGCTGACCTGCCACACAGGGTCCGTGTGCTTGCCAGACTTGGCTGAGCTGCGGAAGGAAGGCTGGGAGTGGGGCTTCTTGAGGTTGTAAACGGCCACGTTACCGTCGTAGTGGCCCACCACCACCAGGTAGGGGTGGTCCGCGTGCATGTCGAGACACATGATGCCACTCTCACTGCTGAAGATATACTCGGGGAAGCTGGGGTTCTTCATGCTGTAGAGCAGCAACATGCCCCGGCTCTGCTTCATGAAGTCATCTGTCGCAGGGAAGATGCCAGGCTGTGGTGGGAGGGTTCAGCTGCACCCGTGCCCCTCCCCCACGGGGTGGACAAGACCGGCTGGCTGTGCTTGTCAGAGAGCCGGGGGTTCCTCTCCCGGCCTCATCTTCTCTGTCTCAGAAAGGGAATCATGAGACTTGGCTTCCCCCTTCTTAGGGTTTATGGGAGGAAAAGGTGACCAGGCTTATCTGAGGGACGGGCAGTCGTCATTCTCTTTATTCTCCCTGGGGTACAGGAAAGAGGGATGCAGGCTCAAAGAGTTGCTAGGTGAAGAATGTGTGTGGGCTTGGGAAGAAGCAGTAACCTCAGAGAGGGCTCAGAGGCCCGGCCTAGGGGCAGGTTGTTGTCCTGGATGATGCCCATATTTTCCCCAGCCCAGCCCAGGACAGGAGTTCAGTTTGGACTAACATGGAATCCTCTATAGGAGTTCCAAACTAGCTGCCTCTTGGGCATCTTCTCATACCCTCTCTCCCCACAATCCCCAGCTGCAGCCTGTGTCCTAGCCAGGCACGCTCCCAGAATCGAGAAGTCCCAGGACAGCCAGCCAGGCTTCCACAGGCCACTGTGTGACCCTTCAGGCTCGAGCACAGCTTTTGGTGATCAACAGCAGACCACTCAGCAGAGGCCCTCCTCCCTGCCCACCCCATGTCAGGGGAGAGCCTCCCTCTCTCTTTCATCCTCTGCTCACATGGCTCCCATCCTGATAAGGTAGTCACTGAACAGAATCCAAGCCCTCAAGTCCAGCTCTCCTGCTACCATCAGTCCAGGACCCTTCCCAAGCTCAGAAGAGGAGGAAGTCTAGAGCAGACCCCATCTTGAGGACCCCCTGCTAAGGGAAACTTCTACATGAGATGATGGCTCTCCACCCCCCCCACCCCCCACCAGGGCTACCTCTTTTGCCCCTGGCAACTGCAAGCCTAGGCCCTCTAGACAAAGTGGCCAGTCCTGAGGTCTCGAGCCCATGCATGGGAAAAATAGGGAGGCCACCCCACCCGGACTAATTTTGCTGAGTCATTCTTCCTGTCTTATTTCCTTTCTCTTTCCCTTTCCCTTTCCCTTCCCTTCCCTTCCTTTTATTCTCTCTCTTTTTAAGATTTATTTACTTATTTTTAGAGAGAGAGAGAACATAAGTGGGAGGGGCAGAGGGAGAAGGAGAGAGAATCCCAAGCAGACTCCGTGCTTAGCCCGGAGCCCAGTGTGGGGCTTGATCTCATGACCCTAAGATCATGACCTGAGTGGAAACCAAGAGCTGGACGCTCAACCGACTGCAGCACCCAGGTGACCCTCTGTTTTATTTCTAATGCTGTCCCTTACTCAAGGGAGGAAGTGCCTGGGCTGGGTTCAGGGACAGTCTGGGTTGGGTTCCCTGGGCTCTGGGGATGAGCTTGGCTACAACGAGTTACCAAATATTCCCACCCCAGGCACTCTGCAAACACCACTTGGTGCTTACTGGGAGCCAGGACTAGGGAGCAGGGTGCAGCCAGGAGCCAGGCTGGCCTGAGGTGGGTAGAGCTGGAAACTGAGGCAAGCTGACATGCCCACCAGAGCAGTTCTCTGTGCGGGAGCCCACATTCCCTTACTAATCCTTACCAGCTCTGGGATTCCTGTTGGGAACCCCTCCCCTCACCCCCATCCCTTGCAAAGGAGGCTTCATGTGCCAGGAGGGAGTTGCTCCTCCAGTGGAAGGTGCCAGGATCCAACTGGAGCCATGGGAACGTCACACCATGGTTGAGGAAGGAAAGTGTTTCTGCTCTGGAGAAAGCAAGCCTCTCACAAAGAGGAGGAGCTGGGGGCTTCCAGATCCCCCAGAGCCAGGTGGGTCACTCTATGCCTGACACTACCTCAAAGCCAGTAGGAACTGGCCTTCAGATGGTGTGGGGAGCTGGCAGTCCCTTACCCTGTAGGACTCCTCCTGGGTAGGCCCCAAGGGCTGACCCTGCAAGGGAGAAATTTGCAGCTGCTGAAGGAAGTTATCTGTCCCACCCAGATCATGCAGGGCTTGAACTGGGCAGTGTGAGACTCATTAGTAGCTCCTTTTGTTCATCCCACAAATCCTGAGCACCTGACTGGGCCTCCCCTTGGGCTGGACCCTGGCAGGGACAGAGACACTCCACTGCAGATGTGGGCTTGCCCTCAGTGGCGCCTCGTGTGAGGAGAGAGGCAGACCCTGCAGCTGAATGAGGCCAACCCCTCAATGGGGAGTGAGTGGTAACCACCAGGACACAGGTGAACTCTTGATGCCCTTAATGTGCAGTCTGTCCTTGATGCTGGGCAAGACTGACAGAGGATGAGTGGGTAGGCACACAGGTGAGTGGGTAAGCAAACAAGTGAAGGAAAGGGTGAGTAGGCGGTGACTGATGTTGGACTGAAGACTCAGAAGCTCTCCTTACTTCACCAAGGGGCCAAGGTGGGTATGACCCTCACACTTGGTCCTGATGTGGCATGGGACCTGGCCCGTCAAGGGACAGCAGTGACCACCCGCCCCTGCATGTGTACAGAGTCTTCATGACCAGTGAAACCGGAAAAGTGGGGTAAGAAACCCTAGTCTGGTTTAATAACTCTGTAGTGAGGACATCTCTGACCTGCTCACAGAACCCCTGAGACTAGAGGCTGGGCTTTGGCTCCCGATTTTTATAGCGGGGTAAACTGAGGCCAGAAGGGAGAAATGGTGTGCCCGGCTGCATCAGACCCATCACATGGTGTTTGCCTCATGCAATATCTTGTTTATAGCTGAAGTTACCCTGCACTGATCTGGTCTTTATGTGGTGGAGAAAGGAAGGGGACACCAGACCTAAGGGGGTGGTGGTGACTGGCAATGCCGGTCTAGTCTCTCCAGAATCTGGACTAGAGAGTGTATAAGGGACAGGGCAGTCACACAGGATAAGGGAAACTTCTGGCAGAGAGAAGCATGGATTTCAAGAGACAGGGACACAGATAACAATCAATCACACTAAGACCTTAGATCCTGCCTGAGTTCCTAGGCCACATGCTCCTGACAATAAGCCTCTGCTTCTTAGCCTGCCCCTGGTGGTCTCTGTTACTTGCAACCAAATGAGCCCTTCTGACATGAAGATCACGATCTCTTCTTTCTTTTTTTGTAAAGTAAGCTCTACACCCAATGTGGGGCTTGAACTCACTACCCTGAGATGAGGAGTCTCGTATCGTGTTTCACTGACTGAGCCAGTCAGGCGCCCCAAGATCACAGTTTCTTTTTCTTTTTCTTTTTTTTTTTAAAGATTTTATTTATTTGACAGAGAGAGAGATCGTGAGAGCAGGAACACAAGCAGGGGGAGTGGAAAAGGGAGAAGCAGGCTTCCCGCTGAGAAGGAGCCCGATGCGGGGCTCGATCCCAGGACCCTGGGATCATGACCTGAGCCGAAGGCAGACGCTTAACGACTGAGCCACCCAGGTGCCCCAAGATCACAGTTTCTAATCAAGACTAGACTGTGTGTTTCCTGAATTCCAGTTCAAGGTTCTGTCTGCCAAACCACAGTGGGAAAACACGGAAAACTCTCATTTAACTGGGGCTTCCTCTCCACTCCATCTTATTCTAGATGTTCTCATCCCTGACTCCAGTGGCCCCTGAGACCTCACTATTTCATTCTCTGAGTGTACCCAGTGTGACATCACAGCCCAAACCTCCAACATTAGCAGCATGAGATCATCATCTTGTCTTCCAGAAGTCCTAAAATGACATCACTACTGAGGCCACCAGGGATCCCCATGTGATATCTTCACTTAGGTAACCAGCAGTCCTAGTGATTTGTTTAGTGATCATTACCCAGCTCTCCAACGTTCCCGGTATGATATCACCAACCAGGTCACCAGCAACCTAGGACATCATTGCTCGGCTCTCCAACATTCTCAGTACAATGCCACCCACCAGGAGTCCCAGTACAAGATTGGCATCAAGGGGTCATCTTTAGTTCCTCAGTTCCCAGTGGAGACTAGAATCTCATCAGGCTCAAGGCTTACAGAGCCCTGGGCCCTGAGCCCCGGGATACTTTGTCCTGAATACCACAAATTCCCTGGTTCCTCAAAGTAGGACTGGAGGGTCCGTCCAGTGACACAGTTGGGAGCCCCCAACCCCACACTCCATTGTATGAAGAGGGAAAGACTCTGAAGTCTGGGGCCAGTGAGGAATTCCAGGGTCCACCAGGCTACTGGATTTCAGTAAGTAAATATGGCTAGGTAGAAGGAGAGGAGGAATAAAGGAAGAGAAAGAGGAAGGGAAGAGAGAAGAAAAGAGGGAGGGGAGGAACGGAGAAACAGAGAGAGAGAGAAACCACCTGGTCTGAGACTCTGAGACAGAGGGAGAAGGTTCTGGCTTGGCCTTAGCTCCACTTTATGCTCTTGCCCTTCTCCAGGAAGCCTTCCAGATTATTCAGCTTCTCCTCTGTGTTTGGGTCCCCTCCACTCTTCTCTACCTATATGTCATTATTACAGGTGGTCATGAACAAGTCTTTTTTTTTTTTTTTTAAGATTTTATTTTATTTATTTGACAGAGAGAGAGAGAGAGACAGCTAGAGAGGGAACACAAGCAGGGGGAGTGGGAGAGGGAGAAGCAGGCTCCTGGCCGAGCAGGGAGCCCGATGCGGGGCTCGATCCCAGGACCCTGGGATCATGACCTGAGCCGGAGGCAGACGCTTAACGACTGAGCCACCCAGGCGCCCCATGAACAAGTCTTTTCCTCAGCCTGCCACAGAGGCTCCATCAAAGGATGGAGTGAGCATGGGTTAGCCCAGCAGGTTTACTCTCTCCATTGGGAGGGTTGCCTCTTGCTACCCCTGCTCTGCTGGATAATCTCTAAAGCCTCCCTGACTCTGGCCTTCAATGATCCACAAGATTCTGGGAAGGAGAGTCAACCCCCTAATAGAACCTGTTCTGGCAGCTCTCAGAAAGCCATGGTCTCAGGGGCGGAGGGGCTCAATTCCACCATAGACCAAAGCTCTCCCTCCCTCAGCTCCCTGTGGTAGGGCCCTGGCAGAGTCGTGCCCAGTGAGGAGCGTGGACGGATGTCTTCTTGAACTGGCAACCACTGGGTGGGGGGTGTTGCTCAGTCCCAGAGCTCTACCCCTGCCCAGCAAGTAATAACTCTAGATCACAGGGGGCCACTCTAGAGAGTTCTGGCTGTCAGGAGAAGCCCGGGCCCTTGCTCGGGATTCGGGGAAGGCAAGGCAGACAGAAGGCATGTTGGGGTACCAGGCTAAAGCCAGGTAAGTGGTCAGAGGGAAGTAGATGCCAAGCTGCAGGGACAGGTTACCGAGCCAGCCTCAGACAGCAGGCCTCCCCCTCTCCTACTGTGGCTTCCCAATGAGTCCAGCCCATGGCTGACTCCAAGGCAGCAGCCGTTTAATGATTCC